GGGTGTTTCCTTTTCCATCCGTCTCTCAACGATTACCGTGTGCCCTCGAAATTTGTGGAGTGCACGCCATCTTGCGTTCTCGAAGTCAGCGTTGAACAGCCCACATGGATGTGCTTTACAATTTCTCAGCAGGACAGACGTGGACGCCAAGATGCCATTGAGTACCAGCCTGTAATGTTGAGCATTGCGCAACCCTTGGAAAAAGGGCTCTATAAGGTTGTTCAAAACAGCTCTGCTGATGCATACAGTCCAAGTTGCGACAAGTGGATTTTTTTGCAGGCTCGTGACGTCAGTCTGATACACAAGTTCCTACCGGAACACTCGCCATACCTCGTCATACCTCGTCTCATGTCAATGACCGGGCAGGAGGGGGAAGTACCATACGCGCTGGGATTTTCTTGCAACAGGGTTGTTGGACACGATGGCGTGACCGTCCAATTCAAAGCTCTTGACAAGGAGAATAAAGTGATGCACAACTTTCCCAAATTTGATCCTGAGGCCACACCTGTCGTGGTGGACTACCAAGTAAAGTCACCCCACAAGGGGTACCCAGAGATGAAGCAGGGCCAGACGGTGTATTAAATTTTTTTCTTCTTGCAGGACGGAGGAAGATAAGTTGGGAGGGAAAGTACGAGAGAAAAGGGAAGGAGCGGGGAAAGAAGGGGACAATTCAATAGCGGTAGTAAGCCAGAGCCAGACCGAAGCCACAGACGAAGCAAGACCAGAAATTTCCAATGAATGCGAGTATGGGGTGGGAGAGGAAAGAAAACAACGAGAACAAGAAAGAGGAATAGCCGTTTTACTTCTAAAGAAGAAAAGAGATAATAGTTGCAAAAAAAAAAAAGGTGATATGTACAAAAAAAAAAGACAATAAGGGGAACAAGGAAAATATGCAGGGATGCGAAGACACCCACGCACAAGAAAGAAAAGAATCCTGACACGGTGCAAAATGAAGTAGCAAGAAAACAACAATAAGAGGAAACGATTTGCCGGACGTTGTGGTTGCTTTCGACTATGTATTGGGAAGCTTATTTATGTATTAATATTAAAAACGGAATTTAATTGCAATTGCTGCTCTCCAGATTTGTGTTTTGTTAGCATTATCCCCCATTTTTTTGTCTTCTTTTTGGTATGTATCTAAAAATATATTTATTTGGTTACCCTTTCTTTGCAATGTATTTATGCCTTTACCGAAGGAATGTGCGTTGTAATGCTACATATTTTGGCGACCGTGTTTTTTTTTTTTTTTTTTTTATCTGTTTCTTGCTGAAACTGAGTGTGCAGTGTGTTTGAGAAGGAATAATAAAACAACGGAAGGGAAGGAGAGAGGAGGATTTTGAAGACCTTGTGAAAAAAAAAAAAAAAGCAAAAAAAAGTTCGGCTTTATTTGAAGGTAACATGTGAATAATAAAAAGAGGACAGAAGAGCTTTGGGAGGAAAAAAAAAAAAAAAAGGCTAACATTTACAAACATAGTGTTTATATGATTTTACTTTTTTCTTTTTCATTGTTTGTGCTTGGGCGGAGCATCGGGGTTTTTCCGTCACGCGATACTCCGTCATAATTACAATTTTTCATTTCATCTTTTTTTTTCTCTCTCTCTCTCTCTCTCCTTTACGAGTTCTCTTTTTTTTCCTCTTTGGGCAATGTGAGTGGTACTCTCCGCACTCTTTTTCACTCGCTGCACGCGGTAATCATCCCGCATCCAAAAAAAAATAGAGCAAGAGAAAAAAGGAGAAAAAAAAAGGATTTTTTTTTGTTTTTCTTTTGCTCTCCTGTTTCTTCTGGTTCTGATGGTGGCGAAGTGGGGAGGGACAGGAATTCCTACTGGAATAGGTTGGAAACAAAACACTGTAAGCCCTCATGGGAGAGAAATGGTGTTCTGTCCACTCTGTTGAATTATGCGACATACTTTTTTTCTTTCCTAAGCATTTCCTGCATTGATTTTTTTTATATCTCGTGCTTCTAACTGAAAGCGACGCTGTACGGAGTTTCTAGGGAACTCAAGGAGACACACACACAAAAAAAAAAAAAAAAAAGCTGGCAGATACATTAAACAAACAAACAAAGAAGCAAGGTGTGGTGCACGCTTACACAATTGTTAACAGGGAGAAATTGGGTCATCACTGTTGAACGCTTGGCAAGTACAGGTGGAAAAGGAGCAATCCGACAACTGAGGAGCATAGGCGAAGGAAGAAGCAAATAGCGGCAATATTGCTTATTCCTTTTTGCCACCCCCTTTTTTTTTTTTTATTTACTGCTTTGCCAAACGAAATGGCGTCATACGGGCCAAAGGATGGAACTGTGAGCGGTGGCAGTATGCAAATTCTTAATGATGAGTTTGATGAGGGAACAGTTGTCGACGTTAACAAGTTATCGGAGTACCGATATGGACTTCCCGTATATCAGGGAACCTCAACCGCGTGCTTTGACGGTGGTCTTTTGTTTCGTATCGTGGAGGAAAAAAACGGCGAACGTTGGTCTTTCTACAACGATACTCCAAATCTTCTGATGCAGGTGGAACTAGACTTTGAAAAGGGGTCTAATATTAAGGCACTTGGAAATACGAAACTTGAGCAAAAATCTAACGGTTCCATTGTTTGTAATGTAACTGTGCACCCACTTGAAACGGAACTTTTTGTAGAAGGTGAACCTAATGGGTACACGAGTAACATTAGGGCAGAAGGGATTTCTGATGAATATCTCAAAGATTTGGCTGTGCAGGACAAAAACACTATTGATAAGGAAACCTACGAACTATACAAATTGGTTGGAGAATCTTCTTCATCTGATGAGATGGTGAAGGTATGCGTCGCGAAGAAATTGAAGTTTGTGGATTTTGCTTTTCCACCAGAACAGGAATCACTCCAAATTGGTTCTATTATGCAAATGAAGGTGATACCTTGGGAGCGACCATGCATGTACTTATCAGATGAAAACGCCAAACAAATTCGTTTATTCCGCAGTGGCGTTCACCCAACCAATATTGATGAGGGTGATTTGGGTGATTCATGGTTCATTGGTGCGGTGGCCACTCTTGCAGAATTCCCAGACAGAGTGCGTGATATATTTCGCCACCCCGTTAGCATAGAAGAGGGCAAAATGGAACGTGAGGTTGGCGTGTATCGTGTCAATTTAAATAAAAATGGCTGGTGGACGAATGTTATTATCGATGATTACTTACCCTGTATGGGTGGTTGCCCAAAATTCGCTCGATCCAAACGGGACCCAATGGAATTGTGGGTTTCGTTGCTGCAAAAGGCATATGCAAAGATACATGGAGGTTACGGGTTTATCATTGCAGGTGATCCACTACACGCACTGCAAGATCTGTCAGGCTATCCTTGTTCTTCTTTTAACAATGCTCTGGCTGAGGCAAGAGTAACGGGGGGTGGAGAATTGTTTGAAAATCTTTTTCAGTACAGTAATCTCGGTTATCAGGTCTTATTTGTTGCTCCTACAAGAGAGACATTGAACAGGGGCGCAATGGATGGGGTAAGTGAGTCAACTTACGCTCGTGTGGGCTTGCGCCTTGGACACGTGTACTCTGTCTTGAAACTTTTATTTTTTCCAGAATATAATCTTCGCCTCGTGCAGTTACGTAACCCATGGTATCGTGATGGAGATGCTATTTGGAATGGGTTCTGGAAGAAGGGTGACAGAAAATGGAAGCAATATAGTGACGTGAGCGCCGCTTGTAACTATACAGAAGAGAATGACTTCACTTTTTATCTTGAGTGGGATGAGGTCTTGAGATTTTTTATGGGATGTGGTGTATGCTTCATTCAACATCCAATGTACGACTTTCGTATTCGTGGCTGCTTCATGCAAAATGTTCCCACCACCTGTTTGGAGATCTCCGTGGGTGTTCCCGTCATTATTTGCCTTATGCTCTCCCAAGATGACATGCGTGGTACCGATAAGCAGGAGTATTCTCCGATCATGATCAGCGTTGCACACGGTTTTGGTTCCATGACACCGATGAGTGTCGACCTCAACAGCGGTTTTGACACCGACCACCCTTCGCCTGAGTATGCATTCTTCCAGACCCGTGAGACCAGTATGTTCTACGAATTCCTGCCCGAAAATTCACCTTATTTGGTGGTACCACGTGCCATGAGCATGTATCCGAAACTACCATACGTTTTTGGCTTGCGTAGTCCGGTGGAGGTGGGTACACCAAATAGCCAGGTGCGAGTTGCGTTTCGTGCCCTGTCACCCGGATGTGGCATCTTTGATAACGCCAGGAATTTTGACGTCTCCACGGTGTCGTGCCAAACGGAGTATCAATCAATTAATCCTGAGCAGTTTTTTCCTGACATCTACGCTGGTACCGTCATTCAAGTTGAATAGTCATTGAGGTGGAGGGAAACATGGTTGAGTGGGAGAGAACTTGTATGATGAACCAGCAATGCTGCAAAAGCTGGAGTCACAACCCTCTCTCCCTCCAAAAAAAAAAAAAAAAAAAAAAAAAAGCCTAAAAAGCCCTCCTTTTAGAGTTTTTTTCCATCAAGTCATACACGCACGCGCGAAAAAACAACAACAACAACAAAAGTGATGATTGAGGGATACATGAGGGAGATTGGAGAGCGGTGCTGTGCATGACGTCTCTTGCAGTGCATGCAATCAGGAGTCGAGATGAATAGAAAAAGAGTAAAAATTAAAGAAGGAAATTCAATTAATGCACTGACGTTAGTCAATGGTCATGGCAAGAGACTCATTGTTCTATCTCATTACTGTTCTGCCTCCTATGTTTATTTATTTATTTTTATATCTTTCCATTGTCTATTGTCATTTCTTAACAACACATGTTTTTTTTTTTTTTCTTCTTTTTGATTCACAAAAAATTTTTTTTTTTAGTTCCCTTCTAAGATGTCTTAAAAAAAAAAAAAAAAGAAAGAAAAAAAAAAAAGGAGGGAATTTTCATTGTTCTTTTGCCTTTCCACCCCTTTTTCTTACCTTCTTTATGTGCAATAGACAAGGCAAGAAAGAAAAGGATTATGAATATATTACAAGAGATGTGTTGACAGAACGACAGTATGAGAAGGAAAAAAGCTGCGGAATGAGTTTGAAAGCAATTGATGTGAAATATATTTATTTCTTTCAACACCGCATTTATTTATTTATTTATTTTATTATTATTATTATTTTTTTTTTTGCGTGTGTGGAGCTTTTACGGTAGTAATTTTTTCATGGTGTCGGCCCCGAGGACACGAACGGAACCCTTTTGAATTTTTTCTCTTTTTTCGTGCTTCGACACACATTGTCTTTTCATCACCGTTTGAACAGGTTAACACTATTTCCTCTACAAGAGGAGGATATTGGGGGGAGGGGGCATTCTGCATATTCTCCTCTTGAAGGGACCTACCTTACTAGGTGCAAAAGTGGATGGTGTTTGCTGTTGGATTTCGCACTTCTTTTTACTTTCCTTTTCCATTCCCTGAAAATACCGGGTACCAGACACCGAAAAGATGTGCATTGCGATGATTTGTGAATGACTCTTGTGCAGAGGGGAGTTTTCCGACGCCTGGGTCCTCTCAAATCCGTGCGTCCGTGTGTTGGATCCAGTTCTCAGGTAAAAGTGATCATTATCTTCAGCACGGATGGGGGGAATTTGATGATGTTGTTGCCAAATAATAATGATGCACCCGCATTTTCACCTGCTTGTGTGTGTGTTCCTCAATGGCGCTTCTTCCCACCTTTGCGCTTTTGTTCTCTAATAGTGCCGCTAAATCTGCAAAGAAATAGGTCAAAAGGAATAAGGAAAAAAGAACAATAGAAAAGGTAATACTTTTTTGCGCGGACGAAGGGTGGAAAAAAAAAAAAAAAAAGAAAGAAAGGAGGAGGAGGGTTTTGGACGCCATATTCGTGTGGATCCCGATCTTTTTTTCTTTATTTTGTTATTTTTGCTTCTGACGGCCTTTAACCGCAGACGGACACATACACACAAGTATGGGCTGTGGGGCGTCGACTACGCAAAAGCCAACGACGGTGGCCCCTGAGTGGAACGTTCCCTTTGAGAAAAAGGAGGTAAAGAAGAATGAGAATTTTGTGGACGAGTTTGAAGAAACCACAATGCAACCGCTGCCTGAGAAGAATTCGTTTGAAAAAAAATTCAAAATTGGGGCACCGACCTTTGTCAGTGAAGATATTACACCCTGCTTTGATAACGGACTCCTCTACCGTATTGCTAAGGATGATGTGTGGGCGTTTTACAATGACACACGCAACTATGAGATGCACGTGGAGTTTACGTTTAGCAGAACCTCTTTGATTCGAGCAATAGGCAACACAAAGGTTAACCAGGTGGAGTCGAGCGGTGAATATGTTGCAGAGACAGTCGTGTACCCCACAGAGACGGTCATGTATGTGAAGGGCTCTATTGCAGGCTTTAAAAGCAAAATCAAGGCACTTCCATTATCAGAGGAATATCTTCAGGGAAGGGTTCGATCGTGCAACTTGTTAATAGAACCCGAGATGAATAGAGTGAAGGAATTTGCTGTGGACTTTCCCACGGATGATACGATCCTTGCCGAATGTCTTGAGAGGGATATACCCTTTATTGACATGTATTTCCCACCCAATCAGGATTCCATCGCAAAGGGATCGGACCGACCCATGAAAACGGTGCCTTGGGCCCGCCCAAACATGTACCTTCCAGACAGTTACGCCCCATTGGTGCGTCTATTCCGCAACAAGATCAGCCCCATGAGTGTTGATGCGGGGGAATTGGGGGATAGTTGGTTGGTATGCGCCATTGCTGCTCTTGCGGAGTACCCAAAGATGGTGCGGGGTATGTTTCATCACCCCCGAAAAGCTGAACTCACAGCAAAGGAGCGAGCCATTGGGGCATACCGTGTGACCTTAAACAAGAATGGTTGGTGGACAAATGTCGTTGTGGATGACTACTTGCCCGTCCTGGGTGGAAGGGTCAAGTATGCCAGATCGGTGGATGACCCCTGTGAGATGTGGATATCCATCTTGGAAAAGGCTTATGCCAAGCTTCATGGCAGCTACGCAAACATCATTGTTGGTGACCCATTACTTGCCTTACAGGACCTTACAGGTTGTCCAACGACACGCTATGATGAATCTTTTGCGAGTGATGTGGAAACGGGAGACACGGAGTTGATTGAGCGTCTGGAGCGTTATCACCGCAGTGGATACATTATCAGCATTAACACACCCGTTCGAGACCCTCAGGACGAAGAGAAGGAGAAAAAATATAAAGAAATGGGCCTAATGATGGGATATATGTACACAGTAAGGAAGGTCCGCCATTTTAAATCGGAAGAAATTTCTCTTTTGCAGATCCGCAATCCATGGTCTTCCGATGTGGAGTGGAAGGGGGACTGGAGCGCTAACGATTCCAAGTGGTCGCAATATCCAGATATTGCTAAGGCGTGTGATCAGGGTGAACCAGAGCCCGGTACCTTCTGGATGTCTTGGGGTGATGTTCAGAAGTACTTCAATGGCTGCGGTGTGGTTTTTCTTCGTTCATCTGGTATGGATTGCCGAGTCAAGGGTAACTTTGTCAAGGGTATTCCCGATGTTTGTGTTCAGATCACCGTAAAGAAGAAGATGGAGCTTGGATGCACACTTTCCCAACGCGATCATCGGGGCACGCGAAATTTACATGACGATTATCCGCCTATTATGATGACTCTATGCAGCGGTCGAGGTTCTGTGGATACCATGCAGGTGGAATATAATACCAACCTGGACGCCGATAACCCCACCAATCAATTCACTTTTATGCAGAGTCGTGATGTTGGTATGTTGTGCACCCTCACTCCGGAGTGTTCTCCCTACTTTCTCTTGCCTCGTATTATGTCCGATGAAGCTTCTGTTCCATACGTCATTGGTCTTTTCACTAACGAGAAATTTGGTGAAAGCATAAAGGCGGAGTTTCGGACGCTTCCGCCGGACAGCCAAGCCTTCGCAAACTTCCCTTCCTTTTCTGGCAACGGCACGTCTGTGATGGCGACATTTCAGGTCAACCGCCTCGGCTCTGGCTTCCCCCAGAATTTCAAAAACAAGGAGCTTGTAGAGAAATCAAGTGTGCCAAGGGAAGGGAAAAGGAGTGAAAAAAGGCCTTCCAAGGTCCCCGGGAAATTAAACGGAGTTCCCGTCCGCGCCTAGGGTGGAGGAAGACGGAGAGTGGGTGGTGCAAGGAAAAGAGGAGGACGAACGGAAAACAAACAAACAAACAAAAAACAAACAAATCCCAGTGCCCCGAGGAAAAAAAAAAAAAAAAAAAGACCGTGTGGGGAGGCAAAAGGAAAGGATCATGCCCATAATCTCGCAGTGGAGGAGGAGCAGAGGCAAAAAGAAAAATTGGAAGAAAGGGAACGGGGGTAAATGTTAAGAAGCCCTCTGTTTTAGCCTTGCTTTTGATGTTTATACGTATTTCTTTCTTGCCTACAGTTCCCTCAGTTAAAAGTTATCTATTGTTAAAACCCATGTTAAAAATACGTGAGACGCCACCAAACAAACCAGAGAAGTGATAGCGGCAAGCCGCCTAAGGGGAAAAGAAGGGGGTGAACTCATTTAAGGCTACAATAAAGTTACACTTTTTTGTAGTCTGCTCTCATTCATTTTCTATGTATCTGATGTGAATGGTGGAGAAGGGTGCATGGTATGTAAATGTCTATTTATTAACCCAAAGGTAGGAGAGGGGGGTTGACAAAGACAGGAGAAGAATATGGGTGTGTTTCTTTTTTTTACCTTTGCGGGCATTACTGTTGGTTCTTGTTATAGCCTTTGAAAATTCGTACTTCAAATATTTTTTTTTAAATGATATTTACGAGGTTAGAGAGGAGGGGGAAGAGGAAATAGGAAGTTCATTGTTGATTTTTTTTGAATTTTTTTTTTTTTTTTTTTTTTTTTTTTTTTTTTTTTTTTAGTACCCTACGTGCGTTGTTGCGTGTGTGTGAATGTAAATATATGTCTAGATTTGATATGTACATGGACCGGAGGGCTCAGAGTGACGTTGATGGATGGGTGGGTGGCGTAAGTCAAAGTGCACAACGGTAACAAGGGAGAAGAGAGGTGCCTTGTTGCTGTTGTTGCTGTTGTTTTATTGTGTTTGTGCCTCGTCGTTCTTTTGACACCTTGACGTCTTTATAGATATATAAGTATAAATATGTACATATATTTATATTTATATATTTTGCTGGTTTTGTATTTATTATTATTTTTTCCTTCCTTGAACTTTTTAGCAATTGGCTTCTCCCTTCCAGTCGGCCACCTTGGGTGTGTGTGTGTGTTTTATACAAGCTGCCCCACAACACCCATTATGTATCCAATGAAGGATGCGGCCCGGGTACCCTGCCATTCCGTATTTTTGCCAATTGTTTCCTTAGTTTTGATTTGCGTTTCGACACCCCTGTCCGCTGCTTGCCATGACTGCTGTTGGATCCGGGGCGCGCGCCATGAGAAACCAATGTTTCTATGACTGTTTCTTTGCTTGTTTGCTTGTTTGTGTGTGTGTGTGTGTGTGGGCATCTGCATCCGTGCATGTGTAGGGTGCGGGGAGAACAATTTCGTCAAACCCTTCTCATTGTTGGCGTCATTTCTTCCCCTCCCTCTTTTTCTCTCCTTTTCTTCTTTTGATTCTTTGCAGGCAGGGGAAAGAGCCAGAAGACAAAAAACTTTTTCCCCCCCCCCTCCCCGTCCAAAAGAAGAGAAGGGGAGAAGCAACAAACACATCTTTTTACTTTGTGTTTTGTTTTCGTTCTCGTTGTTGGTTTCCTGTGCCGTGACGGAGTGCGTGCGAGGGCGAATACCATTACAGACATTGCAGGAGTGGCGAACGATAAAAGCGGGGGTTCTCCCACCGTTACTCACAAACCGTCGAGTAAATGGGAAACGGAGGATCCAGTACGAAGGGAAAGAGTGGCAATAATAATATCGTAACAACTCATTTCAACGGCGGCGATGCAAGTCTCACCGCCTCTGCTAGTTTAAAAGGGATTCTCAAAAACGGCGATGAAACGAGAACGAATGGCAAAAATAATAACAACCCGTTACAAGGACAACAACGGTCAGTTTTGGCATTACCTTTTAGACCAGCCTCGGCTGCTGAATTATTACCTGCTACGTATAATGGGAACCTTTTTCATGGAACCGGTACAAGCCGCCAAACCGTGGACCTCATAGACCACTATAACCTTAGCAGTACCGTCGAAAAAAACCTCCCAGCGCGGATATATAATTCTCAATGGAGAGGGTGTGTTCGATTCAAACATGGCTCTCCGTTGCCTTTGCGTGGTGGGGATGATGTGATACCAATTCCCCTTTGCACGGATGGTGGGGGCGGTGTGGTTTTTTGTTACCGAATCATAAGCGTGGACGGGCGCCTATGGAGATTTTACAATGACACGGTTGCGTACGAGCTAGAAGTGGTTTGTGTTTTTAGCGCGAATTCCAAAATTGAGGCACTAGGCTTGACGACGCTGCGTGAACGATCCGATGGACGGGCAGAGGTGCGCCTTGTTTTACACCCGGGCGACACACAAGAATTCATATACGGAGATGTGGAGCGTTATGAAGAGGACATCAGGCTAAGGCATGTAAGTCGTGCCTTCATAGACGCCTCGGCCCGGGCATGTGAGCCATTTCTCAAAGATGAGAAGGCAAGCATATGCGCCTTGCTTTCAAGAAGAGGGAAAAAAACGGGGCCAGGGAACAATTGGAACGTCCCCAGTGAGGAACTCCTACGGTGGTGTGTGGAGGAGCAAGTACCCTTTTTGGATTTGGAGTTTCCTCCCAATTTGTTCTCGTTAGTTGGAAAAGAGCAAAGCACGCAGAAAAAAGTGCTATGCGGCTGGTGCAAACCGAAAAATTACATACCAACAGAGGCACTCGTGGGTGAGCCTCGCGTTCTTCGCAGCTCTCCACAACCTATGACTGTAGGTGTTAGTCTGACGGGAGGTCAAGGTGTTGTGGGTGCGCTGGCAATATTGGCTGAGGATTATTTTGCTGTTGAGAGGCTTTTCCGACATCCCATGGGTTCTGCAGCTGCCGTGGAGGAGCAAAGGGTGGATGCAAGTCGAGTAACCTTGTGCAAAGGTGGCTGGTGGATTTCTACTGTTGTGGATCACTATTTCCCTGTCCTCAACATGAAATTACTGACAGGGAAATGTATTAGTGATCCCGCAGAGTTGTGGGTGTCGGTCGTGGAGAAGGCATATGCCAAGTTACACGGGAACTACACCAATTTGGCGGAAACCGATGCATTGCGAGCATTACAGGAACTTACGGGGTATCCTACATGTCGCTGGGATTCCATGTTGCGAGATGCTAGCAGCCATGAAGAGCTTTTTGATAAACTTTGCCGTTTTTGCGAGTTGGGATTCATCGTTGTTTTGGATAGACCAAACCTCACATCGGGTAAGAGTTCATTGCAGCGTCTTGGACTGCAGGAGGGAAACGCATGTGTGGTTCTCAGCATGAAAATGTTTCAACCACTGCCCTCCAATGGAGTCTCGGGACAACTCCAGCAACAGGGAATTCATCGCCTTGTGAGGGTTCGAAATCCCTTTGGGAGTGCTCGCGACTGGGTTGGTGACTGGAATTTGTGGGATCCTGCATGGAAAACAAATCCGGTAATAGCTGCTCAGTGTGGGCACGATAAGGAGTGTGCCGAGGACGGCTCCTTTTGGATGGAGTGGCGTGATGTCGTGTGTTGCTTTCACGGGTGTGGGGCTTGCTTCACACACAACTTGTTTTATGAGTACCGTGTGGCGGGACACTGTGGGAAGGGAGGTGTCCCGGGGTGTGTGATTAAACTGGAAGTGAGCCGTCGCATGTACATTTTGGGAATGCTGCAGCAGGAGGTGCGGGGGGTTGAGGGAATGCTACAGCCCATTTTGCTCCAATTATCGCGACGATATGTACCCGAGGCTACGCAAATGCCTTCTTCTGTTGATGCATTGCACAATGAAGCCAATACGAAGAGTCAGCAATCATTGAAACGGTCCGATGCACGAAAACAGGAAGTTGTACTGAATTCTACGGCGGACTGCGACTGTCCCAGCCCCGATTTGTTAACATTCCGCGCGTCCTCGCAGGTGAGTTTCATTTGTGAGCTGCTCCCGGAGTACAGTCCGTATTATCTCATTCCCCGCACCACATCGGATGAGATGGCGTACGTCTTGGGCCTCTTCACCAGCGTTCCATGCGGCAGGGGAAGTGTCGGGGACGGGGCTCCTGCAACGAGGAGTGCGCCTGGCCTCTCCACCCCGCTCCCCACCGCCGGTGGGTCTTTTGCGCAGGCAAAATTTATGCGTCTTTCATCCAAGACAAGAGTCTTTTCCAACAGTTTGCGATTTGAGGTGAAATCAGAGACATCGGTGAAGTGCCGGTATCAGGTTTCATCCCCGACAGCCTCCCCGCTCACTTTTCCCTCAATGTTTACTGACAACTGTATAAGATAGACTTCCCTTCCTCAATGTTTTTTTCTTTTTTTTTGTTGTTGTTACGCTTCCATGGGCATGTTGATGGGTGCTTGCATGTGCAGTGTGATTGCAATTATTTTTCTTGTTACTTACTTCTCCTTTTCCCGCTCCACAAATTTGTAAATGTCATTCATTTGTATTATTACCATTGTTATTATTATTATTGTGTGTTTTGTGTTATTGATTGCAACTTGGGCAGCCTTGTACTGGCTGTGCCACATCTTTCCCCCCCCCCTCTTCCTAATCATTCGTTTACAAATTTTTTAATTATCTTTCATTAAACAATCACACAAAATAATGATGATGTTCACTTGCTCCTTTTCCCTTTTCTTTTCTTTCTTGACGCACATGTGCACCATGTATACAACGAGGAAGAATACGAAAACACACACACAGAGTGACACGCCTCTTGGCAAGTTTTACTTCAGCCCTTTCCCAGCGTTCTTCAAAAGAATAATTGCAACAAAAACAAAGAAGAATGGGCTCGTCTACCTCGAAGCATAATCCCAAGGAGCTTCTCGCTACACCCGCCATGCGCGGTGCCATTGAGGAGTGGCTTTTTAACGGACTTCTTCTCAGAATCATTGATCGCAACACGGGCACCTGGGCGTTTTTCAACAACTCTAGAGACTACGAGTTTCATATTGCTTACCTGTTACACCCGGACAGCGCGGTGCAAGCTCTAAGCAAGACAATCATTACGCCCCAGGACGATGGCGTGCTTTGCGAGACGTCCGTGTACCCGCTAGAGACGCAGAGGTTCTTTGTTGGCGATGTCAGTGGCTTTGAGAGCAAAATTGAGGCACTTCCGCTCTCGGCTGAGTACCTTCAGTCCCACACAGATATTGATGAACGCAAATACTACCGCCGCCTCGTGCCCCCCAGTGCTGCCACCTTTTAGACGCGGGCCGAGTGACATGGACGCACGGAAAAGGAAAAAAAAAAAAAAAAAGCCCAGGAGAAAAGGGGAGACGTCTGAGGGGAAGAGTGTACAGGAGGTCGTGTCTGGTTTGATCCGTTCTTTTTTTATTTTATTTTGTTTTATTTTTACTTTTATTTTTTTGAGCGTTTATGATTCGTCTTGTTGTTTGCTGAGCACGCACACCCCGTATGAAATGAGGCCCACTGAACTGCGCATCTTACGCGAGCCCTGGCAGAGTGGAAGTCAACGAGGAAGAATGAGGGTGGAGCGTGGTGCCTTTATTTATTTATGCATTTGTGTGTGTGTGTATGCATACAAAGACGACGACAAGAAAAAAATGATTTTTCCTTTTTTCCAGAAAATCTGAAATTATGTGCCCTAAATTCATAGTTTTTTTTCTTTTTTTTTTTTTCATATATTTATTTTATCTTATTTTCTTGTCTTTGTTATTTGTGGGAAATGTTTTTTTTTTTTTTTTTTCTTTTCTTTTTACTCATTCTTTCCCTTGTTGTCCGGACTTTTCGCATCTCTCCCTTTGCGCAAAAAATCTTCTTTTCCCTTTTTATTTTCTGCCTTTTTTCTTCATGTGCATGATTTAATTGTGAGCGGCGATGGACCGCAGCTGCTGGTATTTTGCCAGCCGTCACGCCCACGACCATCTTTTCTATTACGTGACCTTTTTTTTTTTTTTTCCTCCTCCGGGCACCTACCACCGTACATGCACACAAATGCCAGTGAATAAAAGAACAACGGGTGACTTTCCCTCTGTGGAGGGGGTCACATGCGGGCGACGAGATTCAATTGACATGCCTGGATGTATGCGTTTTTGTGTGTGTGTGTGTGGGTTGTGTTGTTGTTTTTTTCTATGTGCGATGTAGTCTTCTTTTTTGCGTGGTTGAGTGCAACTTCTTCTACGCACCCTTTTACTACAATTGTTATTATTATTATTATTGTTGTTGTTGCTGCTTTTTTTTTTTGACATCATTGGCTGCCACTTCTTTTTCTTTTTTTTTTCATCTTTTTTTTCTCTACATGGAACAGACGTTTCCAGGGGGGCGGAGCTCAAGAAGGAAGGAAGAAAAAAAAAAAAAAAAAGGAAAGAAGGGAATTCTCTTTGCCATTACTTTTATTATTTTGGTGTTGTGCGTGTCGATTACGCGGTATCATTGTGCGAATATATTGAGCTGTAATAATGGGGTCGAGCTCTTCCAAGTTAACTTACGAGAATGGGAAACCGAGTTTCGGTGAAATAACGCATGTGCACCCTATGTTTAACGGCTTGCTGTTTCGTCTGAGTGACAGGAAACACAACCGCTGGGCCTTCTACAACGACTCCATTGAATATATTATCCACGTCTCCATCCTCTTTGACTACGACAGTCAGGTTGTACCACTTGGATTGGCCACCGCCTACCGCGTCGACGACCCCGAGGTGGGGAAGGAGGACGACGTTGGGAAGTACGTCGTGGAGGTGGACGTCGCGCCCCTCGCCACGGAACTGTTCGTTGAGGGGAGAGTCACCGGTTGGACGGTTGACGCCCTCGAGGCACGGACGGCCGCAAACGAGCAGGAGTTCCGTCTATAGGAGCGACGAAGAGGCGGCACAAACACACAGACACACAAACACGCACGTACGTGAGGTGTGCACTGCAAGAGAAGCAAATAATACTAATTAAAACAAGCAAATAGCAACACCAACAAAAAAGAAATTCCAGAAATCGTCATAGGGATTGGCAGTGCGAGGTGGTGTGCGCATCAACCGAAGAAGAGGGAAGCGAAAAGGAAAAGTGTGTGGAGTGTTATCATATATATCTAAGTTTTTTTTTTTTTTTTTTTTTTTGGTTATTATTTTATTTTTATTTTTGTTTGTCTGAGGGGTGTAGAAAAGACATGAACAAAAAAAAAAGGAGGGTTAGGGTGGGTGGCGGTGAACATGGCGCCGAATCCTTGAATTGCCTTCGCCGGCTGTTGTCGTTCAGAAACAGGATTGAGCTTTAAGGTGAAAGAGGGGAGAAGAAAAAAAGGAAAAAAAAAAAAAAGAAAGAAGGCGGAGGCGGCATCCGCACGCAACCCTTTGTGATCCATCATCGTTGTCGCCACTGTGGGTGAAATGTACAGCCCGATAAGCAAAGAAAGAAATATTAACAAAGAGGGATAAAAAACAAACAAACAAAAAACAATGACATTTTGTGAGTTCTGCAGATGTGGATACCATACATACGCATACATATATATATATATATATATTTATATGCATATGTAAATGTGATTAGAGATGTGTCTATGCAGGGCAGCTAAAATTATATCTTTGGCTCCTTCCACCGTTTTCTTTTATTTTTGTTTTTAAATACCCTGAAGTTGCTGTGACATTTTTCTGTCGTGGCTGCATTTATTTATTTATTTATTTATTTATTCTTGTTATTTTGTTTATTATTTTAACGCGACTTTTTTTTTTTATTACTTTTTTTTATTTTTATTATTGCCTTTGTGTACATGTCGTTTTTTTTTCCCATTCTGTAGGCGTGTGTGTTGTTGCAAACTCTGTTACGGTGTCAACTCGCAACTCCTCGCCGTGTCGTGTGCATGTGCATATGTGTCTTTGTGTTTTTTTTTTTTTGTGTGTGCCGGTGGCGGCGGGCCTCCCAGATGTTTAAAACTTTAAGCGACGCATAGAAATTCATTTGTTTATTTTTATCTGTGTTTGCGTGAAGACGTTTTTCTTTGCTTTTTTTTTTTTCTTTTCTTCTTGCATCTTCGTCAGCGTTGCGTTGTCGTGCTGCTGTCGGTGGATTTTTTCTGCCGGAAGCAAGCCAGGGAGAAGCGCACGGAGGAAAGGGAAGAGGGCAGGCCCAAGGACAAAAAGAACAACACCCACCTAATAATAGAAGTCGTTGCAGGAGCGAGGAGCGGGGGAAACAAGGGGGGAAAGAAGGGCGCTGCACAGGACGGTGGGTGGGTGGGTGGGAGCTTGCTGCAGAGGGTCGGTGGACCGGTCACGGCCTCTTTTCATCTTTATTTTTATTATTCTAGCTTCTTTGCTCCTTCGCCGTTTCTCCCCTCTCTTCTCCTGTGCAGCACACTGGGGAGGAGGGAAACATTCTGTGCTCTCTCCTCATCTGCCGTCTTTCTGGGCGTGTGGTGAGCCGTGTGTGGACACGAAATTTCTTTTTTTTTACTGGGTGGGCGGGGCGGACTTTATTTGTGGCCACCGATTTCGTGGTTGGAGGTCACACGCTGCTCGCACCACCGTTTGCACATTTGGAACGATGACTTCCGAGGAGGAACCGACGCAAACCCGAGTTGAGAGCTCATCGTCGCCACGTGGCTTCAGAAGGGTGACCCTAACTGGTTCCGTGTTGAATGAGGCAGAGAACGAGCAGGGTATTCCCCTGGAGCCTTGCACTGACGCCGAGGTGGAGGCGATGGAGCGTCAGCGGTGGGGAAGACTGGTGCAGGAGGGCTTGTTCCACCAGAGTCTCCATTTTCAGCGGTGGGACAAGGAGGCTTTATTACGGGGATCATTGTACCGCACCCGCACTGTGGCGGCCCGCACGACGGTGAGACCCACAACGACGGCTGCGCTGGTACTGAGTCTTAACATCAATCCTGTACTTTGGCTGGGCGAGAATGAGAATGAAAAGGGGGATGAGGCGTCGCCAAAAGCTTCTCGTCTATACGTCTGGCGAGCCCCCGCCCTCCTGCCAGGTGATAATTTAAATATTTTGAGTCAACTTGGTCAACAACTTGAGAGTCAGTATCGGTCCCTTTCTAAGCGGCCATTGATTGTAAGTCATTGTCTTAATGCAAGACCGGAGGGCTTTGTGCGGGCTTTGGCTCAATGCCGTCATCAAGCAGGCCCTCAAAAAAAGGTTATTGTGCACTACGGGGGCCATGGTGTGCCGCGGCCGCGTGGGGGGTCACTGTTTCTTTTTTCTTCGAATGGGGAGCCTGTAAATTACTCACTGGACACATTTTCTTCCCAGGTTGGATTTCCGCTTGTTATGGTGGCTGAATGTGCGAACGCTGTGAGTATTCTGCACCACCTTTTAGAAAATCGACAGAAGGAAGAAGTAAATAATCACTTCACGTACCGTCAGTACGGAACAAATATAGGTGTGTCCACCTTGGAGGAGTCGGAGCGTCCGGATATGGTGCCAGGCTGGGATCGATATGAAGTTGCTTCTGTTGCTGGCATGGAAGGCAATGCAATGAAATCAACCACGAATGCGCCGTTTTTATCAAAATTGCGTGGTTTGGGTTCTGCTGCAGCTTCAAGTACTAATTCACTGCTGCACGACGACCTTTTCTTTTTTGGGGCCACAGAGGAGGGTGCACTACCGCGGCACCCCAAACTGCCGTCTGATATCCTTACTTCTTGCCTAACGACCCCGTTGCGCATGGCGTTGTTATGGTTTATTGTGGAACATGCCCAGACAGCGGATATACATCCTCTTTTGATATATCTGATTCCAGGGGAGTTAACCGATAAGAAAACTCCACTTGGCGCGCTACAATGGGCCTTTATGTCTATCACGGAATGTATTGCATGGTTTTCCTTTCCTTATGCATTATTTATGCATCTTTTCCGTGAGGATGTTCTCGTGGCCCCATTATTTCGCGGGTTTCTTCTTGCTGACCGTATAATCACGGCACTGGGAGGGAAGGTAACTGTGTACCCGCCCTTACCACGCACCAGTGACCACAACTTGTGGGATACGCTGGACAACATTATTGATCGTACCTTTGTTTCGCTTTGGCGTGCTGTTCGACCAACGCCTCCGACGGTATTAAACGCCGTGGAGTTTCGAGAGTGGTTGGATTGGAACGCAACGAGTTGGCGGTACGAGAAGGGTTCAATGACATTGCCTTCCCTTGGGGATCGCTGCGTTGTGGTCCCGGATTTCCTGGAGGAGGAGTTAAATTGTTTGGCCGGTGCAGTGGAGCGCATTACGGAACAAGGATTTTTTCGACTCGTAAGCACCGATCGTCAACGGACTGAGCTTATTGGAGGCTCGGCCATTACCACGAGATGGTCTCGTGCGGAAGATGACAGTCCTCTATCGTTTCTCCGAGTGAATACTCCTCTTAATGGGGGCAGTTTTGTTGGCACGAAACCCTTCCCCCACATCATGAGGTTGCCCATGTTGCTTCAGGGTTTATTGGTGATGTCGCACCGTGATCAGGCCACCGAATTGGTGTGTCGTTTTGTGGATGCCGGTCCTTTGGCTGTGACGGCCTGCGCAGAGGTGGGCATCTTTAGCATGGCTCTTGTACACTATTGGACGCGTCGCGACTTGCGCCATCTCTTACCGACTCTGTTATTTATTTACGCCAAGGCTTGCTACACGGATCCCTCTTTAGGAGACGCTGATCCAGCGCAGCGTAATGTAATTATTGATACTTGTATGGAAATTCTGGAGCATCCCGTGACAGTTCCTGCCGAATCGAGTGGAGAGGCTGGTGCGTGGCAGCGTGATGTCCTTGGATCTTGGGCAGAGCCTCGGGGACAGCAATTACTTGCGGCATCGCTGCTCACTATGATTTGTCTCCACTCTGGAGGAGGCCGACGTCGCTGTCGAGAACGTGATGCCTTTCGCGTGTGTTGTAACCTTTTGCAGGAAGCGGCTGCAAAGGCGCCACGGGTACCGTTACGAGAGAATGGACTCGAGGGAGAGGGGGAAGAAGAGAGTGGAAGGGAGGAAAACTTCTGGGACGATTATTCCCCCGGTGGACCCGACAGCAATCCGGTGTTAATGACAGCGTACGTACTTGGTCTTATCGCTCTTTTTGTGGTTATTGCGTGGGAAGGGACCCTGTCAGTCGCCAAGACGGATGAAAAGGAGGAGGACGAGCAACACCATCAACAAAAACAAACTGGTGGTAGCGGTGTTGGTGATGCATTGGCTGTGCGGGCATATATCTCGACTGCTGTCGATGCGCTGCAGGCGTTGCTGATCACAACCTCCTCGGCTATACGTGGGGCAGCTATCAAGGCCATCACTGTGGTTTTGGTCTCCCTCATTACCGACGATGAGACCGCGGTCATGTGCGTTCGGGCCATCGTTAAATGCACCTCCGTACAACGGGCACCCCTTGAGGGTAACACAGACAACCGTCTCGAATTTGTTGGTGCCTTATCCCTGGCGATCAAGTGGTTAATTGGGCGTCTCTCTGTCTCTTTGTCCTTAGAGGATATACGACGGGCGGTGCGCTGTGAGTTGAACAAGGCGTGGCGTAAAGCATTGGGGACCACGACCACGAGCCGTGGGGGTGAAGAAAATATCACGAACTGTCGTGATCCCGATTTACCATTCGTCTCACCCTCGCCCCTTGCTGAGTCACCCGTTGCTTCTTTCACCCTCAACGGTGTGGATTCCCTTTTACGCATGTTGGCTGAACTTACATGCCGACTCGGTGTTGCGTCAAATGACCCTTGCCCTTTGGTTGCAGCACACGCTCAAAAAATACTGAGGGATGATTTGTCCATGTTACACGTGCGGTATTTACCTCTTTTCCAGCCTGCAGGTAATGTTCCATGCGGGCGTGGCGGCGCAACCACCACATCCCGCAATTCCGGCATCGCAAATTTTTTTTCAGGTGTTTTGAATACGCTGACGTCGCGTGGAGGGAAGCATGCAATTAGAGAGGGCCACCAAAGCGGTCATGTACTACGAAGTGTTGGGGACGAGGATGTGGTTGAAGAGCTGCTGGACACGGGCGTTATTTTTGGTGAACGTGCGGCAGTGTCAGATGTTAGTGTCTCATTACGCACTGTTTCTGTGCACGACAATATGACTATTTCTTCCTTTGTCTTTACTCTACTTTCGTTTCTCGGGGAACTACTGCTGATACCCATGGATGATCATGACCCCAGACACCCCTTCAACCTTGAAAAGGACGCGTACATTCTCCAATATCTGCGACGGTTGCGGGATGAGTTGCGTGTAACGGTGTCATCTAGCTACGGTTCCTGTGGGCACGAGGGCCACGCTGTCGTATCTCCCTTGCTTCCGTCTGCCTCGTCTTGGAACCATCCATTGAGTCTTCTCATGATGCCTCAGGAGGATGGGACACGAGGGCACGCACCCTCACTTTCCTCACCTCTTATGCCGTCGTCATCGACTGCCGGAGTTGATGCCTCTGTATCGTGGACAACAGATCGTCAAAATTCCTTTCGGCTTTTGGCCGAGAAGAACATTTCCGCGGAACGCAATGGTCATATTCAGGTTTTTACCTTTCATCCCACAGAGCGGCACTTTATAACGGGGACAAATCAAGGTGTTATTCAGGTTTGGTCTTTTGCCGAGTTGGAGGGTTTTATTTTGGCGTCCTCGACTTCATCCCCTGGTTCCTCGCAGGAATCTGGTGAGCTTTGTCGACTGTTGTCACAGATTCAGCCTTCAGAGGTGGTGGCACGGCCGGGTTGCGCCATGCCACCCTCGACCGTTCTGAAGTATATGTACGGTACACAACTGACAATACCGCAATGTGTCAGTCTTTCTGGAGTTGCTAATGAACGATTGGCTGGCGGTGCCCCCGATGTGCCATTGTCGCGGCGGACGGGGTTGTGGGGGACAAACGACTATGGAGGACGTGTGGCCAGAGGGGTTGATCCACTCACAGGGTTGCATTTGGTGGACTCAGCCTACCGCACACTACTCTGCGCCGTGGGTCGATCGGGGTCTGTCCAGATGTTTTCAGCGTACACCGATGCGGCAACGGTGAGGCGCGTTACATCCTTTGCGACCATGACATATGAAGAGTCCCTTCGGAGCCATCAATGTCTTTCTTCTTACCACACACCAGCGATGTTGTTGCATGTGAGTGGTGCAGACGGATCCATTGCATCGTGGGACCTGAACTGCGAACAGAAAGTTTCGGCGGGAGCTGGCCGCAGAGAAATTCTGCATTCACCATCAGCTTTAGCTTCACATCCCTATGACGTTTTTACTTTTGCTGTGGGCGCGGGTTCTATTTATCTTTACGACCTGCGAAATTCTAGTCGTTCGACCCACGTTTTACCGGATCCCACATCCTTGGGGCAATCACTCCAGCGACAATTACAAAGTTTGGGTGACTACAAACCTCTATGTTTGCATATTGGATTTTCATGCCGCTATCCGCACGGTCTTGTGACGGGGTACGGTGGAGAGCAGGGTGTTGTGATGATGTGGGATGATCGAAAATTGCAGCAGCCCTTCTTTCAGAGAGTGGTGTCGGAAACAGGAGGTGCCGGCTCCTCTTCTTTCAATTCTGTGGGCTACATGGACGTGCAGCATTATCACTACGCCCTTATGACCTTGTCCGTAACGGCAGATGCTCTTTTTGTAGGGGATGCTCTGGCCTCCCCATCATCAAAAGCATCATCGTCATCAGGCGGAGGAGGAAACTCCTGTCGGGCGCACATACGTCTCAAGCAGCAGCCTGGCGCGGCTTCCTTTCATCCCATTCTTCCTTTGTGCGGTGTGGCGGGTGGGAATTATTTGCAACTCTATGGGCGAAAAAAATTGTCTATGCCCGAGCGACACGCTTAACGGGTGCCTCAAGTTTGTTTTTACGCACATGCAATGTTATATGTATATATTATATATACGTATTCTGAGGAGGAGGAGAATGGTAGGGGGGAGAAATAGAAAAAGGAAGGTGATGTGGGGCAAGATATTCTGCAACTGCATGTGCACGAAAAGCATTTGTTTTTTTTTTTTTTTTTTTACTTCGTTGTCGTTATTTTTGGCGGTTGTGGGGTTTCAACCTTTTCCTCGTACGTGTAATAGAAGTTTCCCAATGACGATCTGTGTAGGTGAATTCTGAGGCGTTTGCCACGATCCCTCACCAACAATTTGTTTCTCACCCCTGCGTTTGCTCTGGTGCATTCTGTGGGCGTGCACGTGTCTTTTGTTGTCGTTTTTGTGTGTAGTGGGGGTGGTGGAAAGGAGAAGTTGCCGGTTATGTTTTGTGGCGTTCGAGATTCTTTTTTTATTTTTTTATTTTCCTTTTCAGTCTTTTTAGTGTTTCTTCACTTTCTTTCGCCCTTACAATTTCGACGGCTGGGCGTCTTTGCAGGAATATCCTACTCATCCCTGTGAATGCCACTCCAAATTTTTTTCTCCCGTCCCTTCTTTCACGCCATCGTTGCGTGCCTCCCGAGTCACGTCTTCTTTGGATTTCACTTCTCACTCGCACCCCACCCACCGGCTCTGCCTTTCCACCGCCTCGTCGGTGTGGGGCGTGCCCCCCCCAACAAAGCTCCTTGCCCGGGGCGAAAATCACAAGGAGAAAACAAAACGCATGGGGCTGCCTTTGGATTCCTCTGTGCAGGTGGGGGTGGTGGTGGAGGTGAAGAGAGGGGGCGGGAGCAGGAGGCGGTCCCTGCATTAAATCCACATCTTTTTAAAAAATTTATCTCTCTCTCTCTCTGTGTGTGTGTGTGTTCCTTTTTTCTGATGTTTGTGTCTAGGTTCCTGTCGGTGCAACCAGCAGGACAGGAAGGCTACTGGGACAAGGGAAGGCAGACAGAAGCAATGATGGGGGAATTGGGTGGCAAAACCGCCCCGCAACTGGTGTTGAGGACAGCCCTGGAGAAGGACCGTCATGGCTTCAGGAGGTCAACCGGGAGGTTCGATGAAGACTGGCAGAAGACTGAAAGAAACGCGTGGCCGGTCTTCATTCAGAAGGGCGTCACTGCTCCAAATCACTCTGAAGGGAGTTTTAGCATGACATCCGGCTCGGGAGAAAGTAAAGACGTTCGTATTTCATCCAGTTGCAGCGGGGACCCGTCTTCTGTCGAGAGGGGTCCCCGTGCCGGCTACATCCACCAGAGGTGGCCATGCAGACCTGCGGCAATAACAAAGAGGGGGCAGCCACCACTATTCCTTGGCCCAGGTCCGTCGACGAAGATTCGCTACGATAAACTCTTTTGTTGCTTTAATGAGGGGAATGGTCTTCTGTTCCGTCTTGTGGACGAAATACACCACACGTGGGCTTACTACAACGATACGATGGAATACACCATGAACATCACCGTCAGTTTTGGGAGGGAGAGCACAGTGGAAGCCATTGGCAAGGCAGAGTGCATCATAATGGATGCGGCTTTAGGTATTTGTAGCATAGATCTTCTCCTTCCTCCGGGTGGGACAGAGCTCTTTATGCGTGGCGAGTACAATGGTTTTCGTGGCCATTACGAAGCCGCTTCTTCACGTGATGTTGCCACGGGGGAGAGAAGGAAGTGACGGAGGGAAAAGAAGGAGGGAAACACAACAACAACAACAACAACAACAAAAACAAGGGGGGTAAAAAAGGCGCATATGATTGGCATTACCTTGTCGTCTCCCCTATTCCTTACGTGTTTGTGTATCCTCCCTTGTGTGTCCTTTCTAAGAGTTATTCCATACATTTATACACGTAAACAACAGTAAGAATGAAAAAAAGAAAAGAAAAAAAAAGGGAAAATAAAATACTAATAATCATATATGATGCAATATAGTTTCTTTTTTCTGTTTTTTTCTTTGTTTTTCTTTTTTTTTCGGTGGGATCTGGCATGTGAAAGAAAGGGAGGTGACATGCGTGTGTCTGGTAGGTAAGATGGGATGGGGGTGGTGGTGGTTCATATCAGTTTCTATAGATGGGCGGCGCGAAGGCTAGTTAGTTTGGGAGGGCAATAATAATATATTATACGCGTATGTGAATACTTCATGCTCTTTGCCTGTCCATTGCTGGTCCATTCATCATTATGAATGCGGATTTTATTGTTTTCTCTTTTTTGCGAATTGTTTTCTTTTTTTTTTTTTTTTGTTGTTGTTGAATGGACAGTTTTATTTATTTATTTTTTTTTCTTCGATGTAACCCCAGTTTTTTGCCCTTTCTTCTTCTCTTCCTCTTATTTCTCTTCTTTTCTTTTTTTTTTGATATTATTTTTCATTGCTTTTACAGTTTTTTTTTTTTTTTTTCTTCTTTCTGTGGGTGGTGTGTCATTGTCGTCGCCTCCTCCATGATGAGTAGTTATGTGCCATCGTTATGTTTTTTCTTTTTTTTTTTTTGCTCCCCACTTTCCTGCTGCGTGAAGTGCGTGTGACGGGACACCTCGCCACCATCAACATTTCCATCAACAGCCGCTGCCGCTGCTGTTGTGGATTGTTTTACCTCACTTTTTTTCCTTCTCCTTTGCATTGGGTGGTGAGGCACCCGCCCCAAACAGAAAGGGAATAGAGGAAGGGAAAAGAAATACGGGCGCCAATGGCCTGAGCGCAGAACAGAGCCCCTACAGGAAGAGAGACGATCCAAACAACAAAAACAACAATGGGCGGCGGTGCTTCGTTGGCAAAAGGGATGGGCCGCAAAAAGGAGGGGGGCGCGGTGGAGGAAAGAAAAGGAAAAAAAAGCAAATTCTGGCACGGCTGCCCTGACATGTCGACGGTGGCGCCCAGTGAAAACGGCACGATTACTCCGGCGTTTCGTATAAGCAAAAAGGAGACATGCTTTCTCATCGTAGCACCTCTTCTGGCGGAAGAGGTGGAGCACACGTTGGGAAAAAAGGAACAGAATGATGTTCAACCGCAGCCGCAGCAAAATACCCCCAAACCAGTGCGGTGGGCGTTCTACAACGACAGTAAGCAATTGACCGTCAAAATCACAGTGAGTTTTTTTTGTACAACGCAAGGATTAAGGGTGATAAATGAGGACGTGAAAACGGAGCATACAGATGACAATTGTCTACGTGCATCTGTCATGGTGAAGCCGCTGGAGACCGTGGTGTTCGTTGAGGGCTTGGTGGGTGACTACTCGATCAGGTGCGAGATTCTTCAGTAAAGGGGTGCAACGAGGGGGAGACACATTTTACCTGTTAGTATTCTAACATGTGCCTGTGTGTGCATGTATGGTGGTTAGTTCTTATAAATTGTTATGAATGCTGTGCAATAGTCTTTGTGGTCATGTTGTCTTTATGATTTACGGTTATTAAATTTTTTTCTTTTTTCTTTTTTATTAATTTACTCATTTATTTTTGGTGTTAACTGTTTTTTTTTTTTTTTTTTTTTTTAAACCTTATTTTTTATTATTATTATTGTTATGGCTTTATTATTTATTTATATTTTATTTTCCCTTTGGACCCCGCTGGACACTTTCTTTTCATCTGTCATCTGAGCGTCCAGCTTCACCACGTACGTCTTGATTGTCCCCTCTTTTCCCTCTCTGCTGTTCAAATGATGCCATTAAATCACGGGTATATGTGCATGTGTTTGTGTGTGTGGTGCCTGCGGCCATCCCTCTCTCTCCCTCTCTCTCTCCCTCTCTCTCGCTTTACTTCCTTGATTTCCCTGCGTACATGTGTGTATGGCTGCTGTGCACACATGACCCACCCACCCCGCTCACCCATCTCCTTCTATCTGCGTTGTTGGGCACGGGAGAAAAGCACTGACAACATCCGCGGCAACAGGAGTAAGAGGGAGCCAAGTCAAGCCAAAAATAATAATAATAAAAAACAAACTGAAGAAAAAAAGGAAAATACAATTGGGACTTTGTTCTTCAGTATTACTATAACGGCGGAGTTCAAGCCGAAGTAAAACCAGCCGGACGCCAACAACAGCCTCAACACACATCCGCAAACACACATACACACACAGACTTACGTATATATATATATATATATATATAGGGAGGCCAGCAAATTAAGCCGCAAGGAAATGGGGTGTGGGTCTAGCAAGTCCAAAACGAAGGCCGATGACTTCGTCAACGGCAGGCCTAGTGACTCGTTTCCCTACGATGAAATACGCAAGTGCACAGAGCGAGACAATGGTCTTCTCTTTCGCCTGGTGAGCGGAGATAGAAAACAGTGGGCTTTCTACAATGACTCCAAGACATACGAATTTCACATCACTGTGTATTTTTCAAGCCACAGCCGCGTGGAGCCGCTCGGAGATACGACTGTTGTGAGGGACCCAACGGACGGAAGGCTTGTGGCCAAGACGATTGTGTACCCCTGCCTCACGGAGCTCTTTGTGCAGGGTGATATTGATGGCTTTGATGCGGAATACCAGGCGGTGGTGCTGACTGAAGAGTACAAGCGGAAGAAGGCGGAGATGAAGAGCAAAAAGCACGCCGCGCAGGCCAATGACGACCTCGAGTAGGTGCATCGGTCTCGCAAGGCAAAATGCAGGCGTTGGGGTGGTGGAAAATAAATAAATAATAACGCAATCAAACAAAGAAACAAAAGAAAAAAAAAATTGCACTCCATCCATCCAAGAAAAAGCGGGGAGGTAATAAAATCTAACGAAATAAAAGCAAACAGACGAAAGCAAAAGGCAAAAAGGAGGGAGGGTTGGATGGGAGACACGGCAAGAGCGGAACAAAGTGTAGGCAAAATAGAGTGGATGAATTATGTAGAGTTGCCCGCCGTTCCTTTTCTTTTTCTTTTACTGCTTTATACATGTTGGTTGTGAAGGAAAGGGAGTTGGGGAGGGCGGGGGGCGACCCTGATTATTGGGTCCTTTTCTTTTTTGTTTTGGTTCTATCTTTGCCGCACTCCACAGATTTTTTTTTTTTTTTTTGTGTGTGTGGGCAGTGGCATGAGCGGGGAATTGGGGGGGTCGTACAAAAAAAAAGGGGAGGGGAGGGAGAAAACGAGAGGATATGCCGGGGGGGGGGGGAAGAGAAGGAAAAGGGAAGGAGAAAGAAGTGGTGGTCTTTGTGTTTGTGTTGGTGGGTGGAATTTTAGCAAGAAGCCCGAAAGGGGCATTCATTTTTTCGACCTTTTCCACATTTATTTTATTTTTTATTTTTTCCTTAATTTATTTGGGCTTATGCTCCCTTTTTTTTTTTTTTTTTTTTTAGGGGCTTGATTTAGGGAATGTGTGTGTACGTGTGTGCGTGCGACTCCTGTGTATGAGGTCAAGAAAGACAGTGACGCGTGTTGTTTTACTTCTCGTGTTTTCTTTACTGTTGGTTGCCTGATCTCTTTTTCTCACTTTATCTCCGAGGATGCCGAGCTGTGGATGGCAGCGAGGGTGCAATTCTTTCTTTCTTTCCATTGTCACCCACTCGCTCCCCTTATTTCTGCTTTTACTATTATCATTTATGGCCCTCCACGTGGGGAGATTTTGGTGGCGGCGGGACCTGTCATCCTTTTCCCGTTGCGCATTTGCATAGTGGGAAGAGGAGTGCAATGCCTCACCCAAGACGGAGGGAGGGGGGAGGCGCATATACATATATTGTTTGACGCTGACGGCTTCCCTCTTTTCTCACCCCCTGGCCCCCTTTCTCCCTCTGTGATTTTTTTCTTGTGCTGCGGCTGCCGCGATTTGTTTTTTCTTCGAGTTGAACGTGAACATGGAGGCACAAAATGATCTCATTTTTTATTTTATTTTATCTTTTTTTTTGTGTGTGTGTTTGTGTGTTCCTTTCGGTTCACCTCTCCGTCGTTGATTGGGTCGCACACATGCACACGGCTGAATTGGGGGAGGAGGGGAGGGGAGGGGAAATAGTAATAAAGGAGAGTGAAGGTGGCTTTGGCACCGGAAGAAAACACCCAAACGTACATAACGAGAGAAAAGGGAGCGATAGACCGACACCCGGCAGAGGAGAAGAAGGAAGATACGACAACTGGAGTGAAGCTTTGAGTGAGGAGAAGAGCGATTTTTAATCGAAAAAATCCAAAAGAATGGCGGCTGTTGGGACGAAGGATGCTCTGGCTCGTGAGATACAGACACAGATTGATCTGCTGCAGGCGGAGTTGCACAAGCACGTCAAGGACGTTGTCGTTGCGGGTAATTTAAAGAGGAATGCCCACTACACGGCTCGTCACGAGATAATTACAAAAGCGATTGAGAGCGGTGAGCTTCCGCGCACCTTCTGGGCAGATGCCATCATTGCAGCTCTTGAAACGCCTGAAGTGGCGGAGGGCAACGAAGGCCGCCTTCTTGGCAACTACGATGCCGCGTTGCTGCGGGAGTATCTGCAGGAGGTGAAGGTGGAGTACACAGAGGCGGGTGTGAAGGTCATGCTCACGTTCGCGCCTAATCCCTTCTTTGAGGAGACCGTGTTGTGGGGGGAGGAGCGGCACTACGCGGGCGATGAAGAAGAAGAAGAGGGAAAAGGAAAAGACAGTGATAATGAGACTAAAAACAAGAAAAATGACAAGGACGAAGATGATGATGGTGATAATGATGCGGATGACGTTTGCCGCTTCTCCGGCATCACGTGGAAGCCGGGCCACGGCCCTGAGGACGACGGCAACGACCACCACAGCAGCGGCGGCGGCAACGCGGGCATGGACAAGGGTAGCAATGGAACGAGCAGGAAACGCGGGCGGTCGCCAGCTACAACGCAGGGGTGGAGTTTTCTTGACGTTTTCAGCAAGATGCTGCCGCACCCGGAAGAGGACGAAGCCTTTGACGAGGCGGATGACGACGAGCTTGCCGACGCCGTGGAGAACTGGGAGTCCGAGATGGAGGACCGTCGGGATTTACTCTTGACGTTAGTTGAGGACGTTTGGCTTGACCCCATCGCCGCACTCATGAGAAAGCGGGCGGAGGAGCGGGATGGCAGCAGTGGGCCGAGGTTAAAAAGGATGAAGACGGAGTAAAATTGCCGTGATGCTGAACCCCAGCTATGGACACGGACTCTGACTTGTTCTACCGATAATACAGAAGCAAAGCAAAAAAAAAAAAAAAAAAAGAAAACCGAGGAGATTATGTGGTTGGGCAATAAAGTGGGATTGCGGTGCCACTTTTTTTTTTTTTTTTGTTGTTGTTTTTTAAAAACTTTTTTTTCTCTTTTGCATTATTGTTCTTGAATAGCCTTGGATGTGGAGGCAATGGTGCATTTGTTCTTGTGGGCGTTTTGGGTGCGAGTAGATGTATCTTTGAGCTAATGAGGGTCTGAGGTAAACTTCAACTCCAACGCTGAGAAGAACTCTGTTTCACAGTGGTTGTGGATATTTCTTTTTCTTATTTTATATGTCTATTATTGCGTGACGAGTTGCCTTCTCCACCTCCCTCTCCGCATTAGGAAGAAAAGGAAGGCGTTGGAGGAGGACGATGGGGAGGAGGGGGGCATCACATGACAACAGCGAAGAAGGAGGCAGAAGGGTTTGACAGTGCTCACGGAATGCGTACAACAGATCGCGCGAAATAAGAGGGGGAAGTGTTTTTTTTCTTTTTTTGCTGGTGGCGGTGGCCAGTGGTCGAGTGATTTGACATCCATCTCCGTGACGTCTTGTCGCGGTGGGTGCGTCTGACGGCAGCTGGCTTGGTCCCCATTTCCCCTTTTGCCTTCCCTCCGCTCCTTCTTCCTTTGTATTGCGGTGAGGGAAGGGGTTTACGCAGAGCAACCAAGGGAGAAAGCAACGATGGGTTGCGGGCCCTCCACTCAGTGTGCCTCCACTGTTTCTGGGAGCGATGTAACGGGGTGGAAGCCGCACGCCGGGGAGGAGGATGAGAATGGCGGTGGGACGAGGGCAAGGTTATCTCGGAGAGGCCACGCAAAAAGCGGTGGGAAGCGGAGCAACGACGAGGGCCAGCGCACCTCTCCGCCCTTAGTTCATTCCTATCACTGCGGTGGACCCAGCGTCTCGGGTGGCGAGGTGCTGCCGGCGCTGTGGTTTAGCGACTGTACCAAAGCCGCGTGGAAGAAGGACGAGGCGTCTCTTGCACAGGATGATACTGTGCTTCTCTACAGGATTGTGTTGCCCCGCCCCCCGTATGAAGTGTGGGCCTTCTACAATGACACAAAAGACATACAGTTTTATGTAACAATTCACTTTTACCCTCATCCAGAGCAGAGGCGCGAGCTGCTGATGCCGTTGGGTGCAACGACAGTCGTTTGGTTGGAGGACGGAAGCCAGAATGGGATGGATGCTGGCAGCGCGGTGGCAAAACTTGTCGTGGGTCCCACCGAGACGGCCCTCGCGGTGGAGGGACACATGATTGCGTACCGTATCATTGTGAACGGTTTCCCCGCCAATGTCATGATGCAGTAATGTTTTTATTTTTATTTTTACGAACGATGATGTCCTCTCCGTGTCTTTCCTTTCTTCCATCACACACCAACTCCTCTCTTCCTTCATTTACTGCAGCCCTCACCTGCGATCATTCTTACCGTCGGGGCTTCTCAATTAAGTTTTTATTTTATTTGTTTCCTGCAACGCTTTTTCGCTTTTCTCACCTGTTTTTTTTTCTCTTCTTTTCCTTCTTTTTTTCTCACACCGCCAAACATGACACCCAGGAAGTCGCGTTACAACAACAGCTACAATTAACCAATCGACAAGCATTTTTTGTTTTTTTTTGTTTTTTTAATTTCCAATCATGGGCTGCGGTGCTTCTTCGAAACCCTCCACTGTGGAGTACAAGAATGGCAAGCCAAGCTTTAAAGGTGACGAGATTGTGAAGGGGTTTGATGAGGGCAATGGCCTTCTTTTCCGCATTGTGAACAACAAGAAGAGGCGGTGGGCGTACTACAACGACACCACGGAGTACGAGATGCATGTAAAGGTGACATTCGGTGAAGATTGCGACATCAAGGCACTTGGCAAGACACATTTGGAGAAGCTGGAGTCCGGTGAGCATTTGGCGACCATCGTTGTGCACCCGTGCGAGACGGAGATGTTCATCGAAGGCCGTGTGAACGGCTTTAAGGTGAAGATGGACGCTGTCCCCACTGAAAAAAACAAACGCCCGAAGGAAGAAGAAGAAAAGAAATGAGGAGAGGCGGGGAACGTTCACGGGGGAGAGAGGGACATGAAGAATACCGGAAATGAAAACAAACAAACAAACAAACAAGTATAAAAAAAAATTGGCGGAGGAGTTGGGGAGATGGGGAGAGGTGGAGGAATGAATGGGCTTAACGTCTTGGTGTGATGTATGCAGGGCCATTTATTTCTTTTATTTATTTATTTATTTATTATTATTTTTTTCTTGTGGAGTGTTCAGATTTGCCTCTTCCTCCTCCCACGCTCCATTTTATTGATGTACATACACATATATATATATATATATATTTGCCTTTTCCTCCTTTTGTTCCGTTTTCTTTTCCGGTCTTTATTTCTTATTTCTTTCTTCCCCCCCCCCCCCCGCCCTTCTCGCTTTCTCGTTCTGTATTTGACCACTGCCCGTGGCCACCTTTTTTGGCTTGGCGAGTTCAGTGCGTCTCATCATTCTTTTTATTTGTCTTTTATTTGTATATATATATATATATGTGTATTATTGAATTTGTTTTGTCTTTTGTTTTTTTGTTGATGACGTCATATTTGTGTCCATCGTGACGCTTATTTTATATCCACATCGTGACGAATGCCGCTGCGTCTGCGTCGTGAATGTTTGGTGGGTATGAAGGGCTATTAAGCAGGAATGGTGGTGGTGTGGTGTGTGACGGTTGAGGTATATATAACATATATATATGTACATGCATGGACGGCAGCTTGCGCTCCTCTTGACGTGCCCATGCACTTAACTTTACTCCACTTCCACCTTGCGTTCCATGTGAAATATTGAAGGGACACTGTTTTTGCACCGCACGATTCCCGCAAAAAAAAGAAAAAAACGAAAAAGAAACAGATGTGCAACCCTCCTTCCCCCTCCAAAAAAAAAAAAAAAAAAAAAAGGAAAAAAAATCTTTTGAAGACCGGCATTTCTGGTTGTGCCTTATTTTTTTTTTTTTTTGTCTGTTTGCCTTTCTTTCTCTCTCTCTCTCTCTTTGTATGTATGTGTTTTTGTCTTTAGCCAATTTGTTATCCCTTCTTTTTTCCACCAGGCAACGACAGTGCTGGTTAGGTATAATGCATATGGCTCCATGAAATTCGGACCGGGGTGGGGTTAGACTATATTCCCCTCCACATGCAAAAAGGATTGGGAAGAGAGAGAGAGAGAGAGAGTGTGTGTGTGTGTGTGTGTGTGTGAGCGAGAAAAAAAAAAAAAAAAAGGGGGGGGGAGCCATATATATATATATTTCTTTATTTCTTTTATTTTTATTATTATTTTTTTTTTGTGTTGTTTGTGCAATGAACAATTGTTTTTTTTTTTTGATGATTAGGATAACACACTGAGGTTTTAATCATGTATGCATATACATACATACATACATGTATAGAGGACGGTGTCTGACTGAATCCACTTCCTCTTTTTCTTTATTTTTGTTTGTGTTTCTTATGTTTGTTTCCTGCAACGCTTTTTTGCTTTTCTCACCCGTTTTTTTTTCTTTTCTTTTCCTTCTTCTTTTCTCACACCGCCAAACATGACACCTAGGAAGTCGCGTTACAACAACAGCTACAACTAACCAATCGACAAGCCCTTTTTTTTTTTAATTTCCAATCATGGGCTGCGGTGCTTCTTCGAGACCTTACGTGGACTACAGGAATGGCAAGCCAAACTTTAAAGGTGACGAGATTGTGAGGGGGTTTGATGAGGGCAATGGCCTTCTTTTCCGCATTGTGAACAACAAGAAGAGGCGGTGGGCGTACTACAACGACACCACGGAGTACGAGATGCATGTAAAGGTGACATTCAGTGAGGACTGCAACGTCAGGGCACTTGGCAGGACGCATCTGCAGAAGCTGGAGTCCGGTGAGTATTTGGCGACCATCGTTGTGCACCCGTGCGAGACGGAGATGTTCATCGAAGGCCGTGTGAACGGCTTTCAAGCGAAGATGGACGCTGTTCCCACTGACAGGTACAAGCACCGGCGAAGAAGAAGAAAAGGGGGATGCTGCTCGTAGGGGACTTCCCACAGTTTCTCTTTAACCACTGGAATCCTTTTTTTTTTTTTCTTTTTTTTTTTTTTTTTTTTGGTGTGTGTGTGCGCTTGGCTTATCCATTACATTTTTTTCCTTTTTTTTTTTCTTTTGTTTTGTTTTTCCCTTTTTCCTTGCTTTTTCGTGCTGATGGGTTTATCATATGGTTTGTGTGTATCCATCCATCCATCTGTATGTACCTATCTATGTATGTATTTCTGTGTGTGTGTGTGTGTGTGTGGTAAATTTGCTTCTTGATGGGCACCCTTCGTCATAATTTATTGCTTACTTCTCGGCTTTTTTTTTTTTTTTTAAACTTTTGCTTTTTTTTTTGTGCCTGAGAAGAGTCATGCGAGGAGAAGGGGAATACGATGTGATGTATGTAAGTATGTGTGTGTGTGGGGGGGGGGGATGGGGGGAAAAGGAGTCGTCGGAGAGCGGGGCTGCAGAATAGCAGCAGGAGGAGGATGAGGAGGCATCCCACCCCCGTTCTCTTCCGCTCGTCCCTTCCTACATGCAAGAAGAAAAGAAGAAAAAAAGTGAAAGAACGAGAAGAGGGGAGAGTAAGTGAGGCTGAGAGTAAACTTTGAAGACAAAGAAAGAAAGAAAGGGGGAGAGAGAGAGAGAGAGAGAGGGAAGGGAGGAAAGACAGTAGCACTTGTGCGGTGGCCGAGGAGGGAGGGGCCCTCTTTTTCTTTTTCTTCTTTCTTTATGTATTCCGGCTTAAATTGTACCCAACGAAGGCAGACCGAACGCGTGCCGCAAGCCCGCGGAGGCCAATGAAAAGTGACGGGGATATTTCTCGCTTCACTGCTCATGTTCAATCATTTCCGCTTTTTTTTTTGCTTTTGCTTTTGCTTTTGCTGACTTTGCGCAGAAAATTACAAAAAAGAAAAAAAAAAAGAAAATAGATGCGGCGCACGGCACCTCTGCGTCGCACCTCGCGCCGTGGTCCGGGCGGATGGACGGAGCCGACGCTGCGGCAGGCCGCTGCTCTGGTGGATGGGAATGCCACCAGCGGAGCAGCACGAGGCCCATCGACTTCATTTGTTGGCACCCCCTCCCCAGCCGTGAAGAGCGCATTCGGTGTGGACGACTTCTCCATGATTCGTCGGCAGCAGATGACATTCACGAAACTCATTCAGCTGACGATGGACGCGACTTTCCGTCCAAAGGACTCTGACAGTCAAATCTACGGCGGTGATGGCGCAACACAGCGGACGGCGTTGCGCGAGGAACTGAAAACGATGGACCGTCGCATCACCCCTTTTGCCCACGAGGAGCTCCTCAACGACTATTTGAAGAACATTGTGGCGTTTAGCGGCCCATCTGGCCAGGTGTGCGACCGGGAGCTGCTGCGGGGGCGTCTGGTTGGTTTGCTTTTTTTTACCGAGTCGGAGTGGTCGTTGGCCTTTATGCGGAAATTGAAATCTTTTCATCAGAGACATCGACAAGATTTTGTTGTTATTGCTATCTCTTTGGCCGGCAAGGAGATGATGGACGTTACACGACAACATGGATTTTTTCATTGTGCCCATCGCGATGGTGCGACATGGGTGTCGAGGGACGCAGGGGTTATGATAAGACCGCTAACGCCACTGCCGCGGTTGATTGTGGTTGATGGCAAAAACGGTGAGGAGATAACACGTAGTGGCTTGACCGCTGTTCTGACACATCCTGACACGTGTTTTGCGGCATGGCGAAGGGGTGCTCCCGGACATGAGTGGTGGGACTATTTGAAGACGTTTTACCTCTGACTGGGGCCTTGGTGTGCATATATATATATATATAGTCCCTGTGTCTATGTGTGTAATTGTGTCGAGTGGATGGACTGGCTTCACCTTTCCCTCACTCCTGGTGGCTTCTTATCGAATCTGCGGCAGCGGGTTGCGTTTAGAGAGAGGGGGGCAAGTGGAGTTGTGGCGACTCTCGAGAGGTGTTCTCGCCGTCGAGGTTCCAAAAATAACAAATAAATAAATAAATAAAGTGAAGTGTTCCTTTTCCCCCCTTCTTCTCTCTACATAATGGATATATATATTTGCAGGCAGAAGAACGTGACACGATAGTGTCTACGGGCACCGCAATTCACCAGGCGGCGGTGTCTGACAAATTAGTGCGATGGGAGGCGGTGCGTCGAGTACGTCATGTGACGATCCGACAACCACCAGCCGAATCAAATACCGCAACGGCTACCCGAAAGTTTTGGGCGACGAGGTGATTGGCTGCTTCAGTACAGTTGACGAAACGGGCGAAGTCATGGCGCCGCCGGGGCTCCTCTACCGCATTGTGGATAGAACCAAAAGGCAATGGACCTTCTACAACGACGCAAAGGAGTACAACATGGTGATAACAGGATACTTTGGACCGCTAAATATCATCAAGGCGCTCGGAAAGGCAAAGATGTGGCGTGAGATGCCAAGTGGACTTCTCATCGTTGAGCTCGTCGTTGAACCATTGCGGACGGAGCCCTATTTAGAGGGTGTCGTCACGGATGGGTTTGACTTGCGATTTAGAGCCCTGCCGACATGAAGTGCCCATGATGACATCCGTTACCTCCATCGGATGCCATTACCAAATAACTCTAAAGCAACACGCATACAATCTTAAAGAAAAAGAAAAAAAAAAAAAAAAAAAAAAAGAAACGAACGCGCCAATACGGCATCGACAGCAATTGCAATGTAAACTAATGTACCATGCAATTATTATTATTATTATTTTTTTTTTCACTGCCCCAAATAATAATAAAAAGCAAAACAAAAAACAACAACAACAAAAGAAACTCTCTGATGCCCTTGTTGATGAGTATGAAGGAATTTCATTATCAACCCACCTCTTAAAACGAGAAGGTACAATTCTTTTAGAAGTCACACCGCTAAACGGATTAAAAACACGATGACAAAACAGGGGCTCAACAACAACAAAAGCACCAAAAAACTTGTGCGCGTGCGTTACTTTTGCCACGAAACACTGCAAGCACACCCACTTCATGACAAAAAAAAAAAAAAAAGAAAAAAAAACACATGGCGCATAAAATTTCAGGACTTCTACGCAACCTTACCAATCTTCACTGCTGCGCTTGTGAATTTCCTTCTCTTTCCTTCTCTTTTTGTTTGCCTTGTCTTTTCCCCGCGCGCGCGGTTTGCGGCCGACTGCGCCGGTGGAACGGGGATTGAGTATATCTCACTTGGGGAAAAGATCTATTTAGTGGAATTACTCGTTCAGCCACTGAGCCAAGGAGAGCAGGGAAAAAGTAATACATACATAAAGAAAGCAAACAACAAAAATATCATCATCAAGACAAGAAAATGCGTGAGATTGTGTGCGTTCAGGCCGGCCAGTGCGGCAACCAGATCGGCTCGAAGTTCTGGGAGGTGATCAGCGACGAACACGGTGTGGACCCAACAGGAACATACCAGGGCGATTCGGACCTTCAGCTGGAGCGCATCAATGTGTACTTTGATGAGGCAACGGGCGGCCGCTACGTGCCCCGTGCGGTGCTTATCGACCTGGAGCCCGGCACGATGGACTCCGTGCGCGCTGGTCCATACGGGCAGATCTTCCGCCCGGACAACTTCATCTTTGGTCAGTCTGGCGCAGGCAACAACTGGGCCCAGGGCCACTACACGGAGGGCGCAGAGCTGATTGATTCCGTGCTGGACGTTTGCCGCAAGGAGGCGGAGAGCTGCGACTGCCTGCAGGGCTTCCAGATCTGCCACTCTCTTGGCGGTGGTACGGGCTCTGGCATGGGAACTCTGCTCATCTCGAAGCTGCGCGAGGAGTACCCAGACCGCATCATGATGACCTTCTCCATCATTCCGTCCCCCAAGGTGTCCGATACGGTCGTCGAGCCGTACAATACGACGCTTTCTGTGCATCAGCTGGTGGAAAACTCAGACGAATCGATGTGTATTGACAATGAGGCTCTGTACGACATTTGTTTTCGTACGCTGAAACTGACGACTCCAACGTTCGGTGATCTGAACCACTTGGTGTCCGCGGTGGTCTCCGGCGTGACCTGCTGCCTGCGCTTCCCTGGCCAGCTCAACTCCGACCTGCGCAAGCTGGCGGTGAACCTGGTGCCGTTCCCTCGTCTGCACTTCTTCATGATGGGCTTTGCCCCGCTCACGAGCCGCGGCTCGCAGCAGTACCGAGGTCTGTCCGTGCCAGAGCTGACGCAGCAGATGTTCGATGCAAAGAACATGATGCAGGCTGCAGACCCGCGCCACGGTCGCTACCTGACGGCGTCTGCGCTCTTCCGCGGCCGCATGTCGACGAAGGAGGTGGACGAGCAGATGCTCAACGTGCAGAACAAGAACTCGTCCTACTTCATTGAGTGGATCCCGAACAACATCAAGTCCTCCATCTGCGACATCCCGCCCAAGGGCCTGAAGATGGCCGTCACCTTTGTCGGCAACAACACCTGCATCCAGGAGATGTTTCGCCGCGTGGGCGAGCAGTTCACGGCGATGTTCCGCCGCAAGGCGTTCTTGCACTGGTACACGGGCGAGGGCATGGACGAGATGGAGTTCACCGAGGCGGAGTCCAACATGAACGATCTTGTGTCGGAGTACCAGCAGTACCAGGACGCCACCATTGAGGAGGAAGGTGAGTTCGACGAGGAGGAGCAGTACTAGGTAGGTTGGCTGCTGCTACGAGGCACGACGGGAGGGGGCGTTTGAGGGCCGCAGTACAGACAACGCTCGTCCTGTCGGCTTTTTTTCTTCCGGGCGCATCTTTTTTTCTTTTTATTACTTGACTTTCCCTTTTTTTTTTTTCTTTTTTGTTGGGTCGGTGATTTTTTTTTCTGTCTGGGTGTCTCCGTTGACTAGAGAGGGCAGGGAGTTGTGTGTACAGAGTGAAGAAGCCCCAAGGGAACGGCGGATGGTGACGGGTAGGAGGGGTGAGGTGAGGAGGAGAGAGAGATTTTAGAGAGGCGAGGCGGGACTGGCGGTAGGGTCATTTCTGTGTGTGTGTGTGTGTGTGTGTGTGTGGACATTCGTTGGCTCTTTTTTTGGGGTGTGTGTGGGTGCTTTTATGGTTTGGGTAGATTAGTATTTATTTCAGTTGGAGTAAATGAATGTGGGTTCTAATCAGGAGGTTGCGTGCACGCTGCTTGTTGGTTTTGATGGCAGTAGTGTGAACACGAAGGATCTCAAGGCGGCTTTGGAGAAGGGGGACATAAGTGCTCGAGCAGAGGCGCTGGAAACGATGATTAGGCTCCATTTGAACGGCGAGCCGCAGAATCATATGATCATGTCTGTTATAAAGTACATCACCCCGCTTGAGGATCACCTTATTAAGAAGCTGGTGTTGTACTTTTGGGAAGTCGTGGAGAAGACGGACAAGAATGGGAAGTTGCTGAGCGAGATGATTTTGATCTGCTCCTTCCTTCGGGAGGATCTGCTGCATCCCAACGAGTACGTGCGGGGTCTCACCTTACGGTTCCTATGCAAGGTGAAGGAAAAGGAACTGATTGAGCCGCTGATTTCATCTGTGGTGCAAAACTTGACTCACCGGGTGACGTACGTACGCCGTAGTGCCGTGGCGGCGGTACACGCCATCTGTAAAAGGTTTCCGGATCTTCTTCCTGATGCACCTGAGTTGGTTGAGAAATTCATTGGCGACGAAAACGATGTTTCGGCGCGTCGGAATGCTTTTGACATGCTTGTCGAGTGCGCTCCCGAGCGGGCTGTGCGATTTTTGACAGGCTTTCGTGAGTCGACGAATATGGCGGATGCAGGTGCCGCCTTTCAGATGTCTGTTGTAGACTTTGCGCGGCAAATGATACGAGCGAATCCGTACGACAAGGCGAAGTACGTAGCTATTCTGTTCAATGTTTTGCAGTCCAAAAATCCGGCGGTGCGCTATCAGTGCGCCTCAACGCTGTTGAGCCTCTCTTCATCCCCTACGGCTATTCGACAGGCCGCCCTGACATTTATTGACTTGCTGAAGACACACTCGGACAACAGTGTGCGGCTTATCGTGGTGGATCAGCTGGACGGCATGCGGATGAGGTTTGGTGATATTCTGCAGGAATCCCTACTGGACGTGATGAGTGTCTTGGCGAACAGTACGACAGAAATCTGCAAAAAAGTGGTGACACTGGCAGTGGAACTTGTTTCCAACAAAAACGTTGAGGTCTTTTTACAGGCTATAAAGAAGGAGCTGCTGAGGTCACAGAGCGAGGAAGACGCTTTGGATAAGTCATCGATTCAGGAATATAGGCAGCTGCTGATCCGCGCCATTCACACCGCCGTCATTCGCCAACCACAAATGGCTGCAACAGTGCTGCCCATGATGATGGATTACATATGCGATTCTTCCAACGGGAGTCAAGAAGTTATTTCTTTCATCCGTGAAGTTCTTCAGGTGCAGCCTTCATTGCGTGCCGGTACATTGAAGCAATTGCTTGAAGTCTTCCCTATGGTCACATCGCCGGGGGTGGTGCGTACCGTTCTGTGGTTATTTGGTGCACACGTTTCATCAGCGGACGAAGTGCTGGGGGTACTCGCGCTGCTGGCCAATTCGTTGAAGCCGCTGCCTCTCACGCCACCTGTTCCACCGGCGGCATCTGTCAATGGAGATGCGAATGGAGCAGAATCTCCCGTCATGCGTGCCGTAACGACGGTGAGGGAGGACGGAACATATGTTACTTCCTATACAACCGTCCCGACAGGCACGATGGCGGCGGTAGCAGCAGTGACGGATACGACAGAAGATACTGGGGTGGTGCCAGCCGGCCTGCGATTACTCATCACGAAGGGAGATTACTTTGTTGCCTCTGCTCTTGCCAGCACCCTGTCTAAGCTTCTTATCCGTTTGTTCACGAGCTATGGCTTTGCCGTGGATATGGCGGTGAAGTCCAAGGCACAGGACGATGCGCTGATGCTTCTGCATGAGATCATTCGCTACGGCACCGCACCCGACGCGGCGTGTGCAATGGACGAGGACTCCCATGAACATATACGTTTGTCCATCATTACCATTGCGAACCCACAGTCGCCGTTTTTGCAGGGTTTTGTGGACGACTCCTACAAAGCGCTTAACGCTGTGGAGAGCACGGTTGTTGGCACCGCCGTTGGGGAGACGGTCCCCAACGATTGGTCCAAAGCGAAGGAGCCGACTGCTTTCTGTAGCATCGATACACCCATCATCTTTACGCAGCTAGCTCAGGGGAAGGATGCCTTCCTGGAGCTGGAGGCCACGGATGACTTGGGCTCTGCTATTGCGAACGCCTCAATTGACAAGACGGAGGAATTCCTCAAACGTCTGGAGAAGACGATTCCACTATCTGGTTTCTGCGATCCGGTGTACTGCGAGGCAAGTGTGACTGTTCATCAGTTTGATGTCTCTGTGGATTGGTACCTTGTAAACAAAACTTCAAATCTGATGCAGGAACTAACAATCGAGCTGGCTTCTTTGGGCGGTATGAAGTTGTGCGAGCGACCACAGGTGCACAGTTTGCCCCCCCATGGCTCTCTTAAGCTTCGCACAGCGCTTAAGGTGAGTTCGACCGAAACGGGTGTTATTTACGCTAGCGTCCTCTACGATGCCCCCAATGGTGAACGCTGTTGCGTCATTCTAAACGACATTCATGTTGACATTATGGACTACATTAAACCAGCCTCATGTCTGACGACAGAGTTCCGCGAGAAGTGGGGCACCTTCGACTGGGAGAACACCATTGCCGTGAACACAGATAAAACGGACTTGCGCGATTATGTTGAGTTTGTCATGAAGGAGACGAACATGCAGCTTTTGGAGCCATACCGGGATGTAGACGAGGAGGAGCTGCAGGGGCTTTCGCCCACGGACGAAGATGGCGGTTACGGTTACGTTTCGTGTAGTCTTTACGCCCGCACTGTCTTTGGCGAGGATGCGCTAGCGAATGTGTCTATCGAGAGGGATGCGCAAGGCAAGATCAGTGGCGTGGTACGCATTCGGTCCAACACGCAGTCCATCGCGTATGGCATAGGAGAGAAGCTCAGCCTACTCGATAAAGGAGGAATAAAGTAGTGGGAGCACGAATCTCCGGTCTTTTTAGTCATTTTCTTTCATTTTTCTCTCATTCCACACGTATGACATATAAATGTACTTTGGGGGAGAGGGAGTAAAGAGGGAAATTGTAAGGACGGTATTGACGGAATGAGAAAGAGGAACGGAGAAGAAAGAGAGCTTGATGGAAGGTTTGGGAACCGCATCGTCTTTCCTTCTTTTTTTTTTTTTCGTTATTTCCATGGATGAGCGCTGATGAATGCTCATCGCCACTGAAGCTGTTATCAGGGCGCTGTATAACACCCGCACCGCAGATTTCTCTGGGCGTGGCGGAGCGGGTGCGGTGCCGGGCTCTGCTGCGGCTTTTTTTTTTTTTTTTTTTGCGCCAGGCACTTTTATATGTTTATTTTGAGGGAATAAAAGAAGTAAACAGAAGAACGAGGAGGAGGGGAGGAAGAAAAAGAAAGAAGAAATGAAAACACAAACACACACACACACAAAAAAAAAAATTGAAGGAAAATCAAAGAAGGCAGCATCTACGACGGTACCGCCAAGGCCTACTAGAAACTCAAAGCGGTATCCATGTCTTAATGTGTGCATGAGCTGTGTGTTTGTCGGTCCTTTGGGTGTTATGCGCTTCATATTACTTTTCCACCTTTTTCCCCCCCCTCCCTCTGTTAGACGTCAGCCGCTATGTTGTTTAGCCCCGCCATCAGTGAGGCGGAGATAAGGGCGGTACAGGACGGAATCGCAAATGACGTTCGTGGCGACGGGCGGACGCTGACGCAGCGGCGGCCATTCACAATCCGGACAAACTACAGCGCGGGTGCCTCAATTGTGGATGTCGAATACGACGGTAGTTGCGTGGAAGTGCAGTGCGGCGCCACTACCGTTGTGGCTGCAGCAACTCCATCTATCATTGAATTGAGTGAGAGCGGTGAGGCGGCGCCAAGAAAAAGGATGCGTGGTCCATTGTTCATCAGCATTGATGCTGTGCCTGCTGTTGTGGACTATTACGCACAGGCTCTGCGTAACCGCGGGGGACGTTACCGTCTTGCATTTCTTTCTTTTTTGGCCACAACTATTAGTCAGACCTTTGGCGCAGAGGGGGTGACTGTGCGGGAGCAGCTGGGCTTGGCAGAGGCAGAAATTATCGACGATGGTGATGATGATGACGCCGCAACAACCGCTGGTGGTGTAAATGAGGAAGGAGCGGGTGGGGGGTTGCGGCAAGGCAGATTCCCTGCGGAGGAGGAGGGCGATAGTGGTGGTGGATTTCCGGGAGAGGAACTGTACATTGGTGGGGGCTACGCGTTCCGCATTGACGTGGACGTTCACGTGCTGCAGACTAACGACGGGAACCTTCCATCTATCATCTCTCTCGCTGTGCACGCCGCACTGAAGGCGGTGAAGTTGCCGTCTGTCACACTGCATGAAACCTCTGGCGGAGTGTCGCTGGAGGTGGACCGCAGTAAACCCTTTCGTCGTCCCGTGGACTGGTCGCGGCTCCCTGTTCTGACCGTCCTGCTGATATCTCCCACGCGGCATTACGTCGTGGATCCCACTCCCTTGGAGGAACTTGCATTACCGCAACAACTGCACCTGGCTATGAATGCGGCAGGACACGTGTGCTACATGCGTTACCAGCAGCTGCCGTCACGCCGCGGTAATGCATGGCGACAGGAGAAGGGTTGTCGTGAGCGGGGTGAGCTGGACGACACGGCGGGGTCCTTCCTTCCTGCTGGCATGAACGTGCCGGATTTGGCTGCCATGCTGCACGATGTGTCTTATATCTGTCAGGCGACCATCTCTGAGTGTGACGAGGCCCTCCATAACAGCAGGTAAAGGCGCAATTCTTTTCCTTTTCCTTTTCCCATCCCCCCCCCCTCTCTTTCCCTCTGTGTGTGTGTATTTATTTGTGTTATTTGGTTTCTCATGGAGAAGAAAAAGAAGAATAAATGCATACTGCAGGAGTACTGAGAGTGAGCAACTGCTTGGGGGGGGGGGGGGGGAACAAAAAACGGGTAGGGATGAATGAATAAATCCATGATTGAAAAAATGAAGTGGTGGTTTTTTTGGCGGTGCTCGTTTGCGTCCATGTGCATTTAGTTTCGCGAATAAAATGCGTTTCACATGTATGCGTGTTTCTTCTTTTTGTTTCTCTTATTTTTTTGTTGCAAGTCTTTGACCGGACAAGGACCGAAGTTTTATTAGAGAGAATTGTGGTTTTTTTTTTTTTTTTTTTTTGTGTGTGTGTGTTTTTCCTGTTCGGACGGCGAACACATCCCGCTTACATGGAGATTCGTGAGGTCAACTTCAATGCAAGGGTCCTGCGTGGGAAGACCGATCCACCCATGGCGACGTACATCAGCCCACCACGGCCAAATAAGCAGAAGTTGCCACCGCCCACGCCACCGCAGTCACAATCTATTGACACCGAGAAGAATATGTACGATGCATCTTCGATGTTCTCTTACGCCACCGCGGCCGACTCCCTGCGTATGATGAAAATAGATGGGAGGAATTACGCACAATGTCCCTGTGCAACATGCACGCAGTACCGTGTCTACTACGCGATGAGGATGGCAGGAAATCCCGAATTGCAGTTCGATAACTCATACGCGGCATCCACAATGTGCGTCCCAACTATGTACAGTCGAAAAGCATCACAATTACCACCACCACCACCACAACAACAACAGCAGCCATCTACAGTGTCCACTATGCCGCGTCGGGATGTGGCGCCTGTATTAACCATAGGGACTCAGCGACCGACGGCGCGGCCTGCGCCCCACGCTTGCGTCTTTAACCAGTCAATACCACAGCAACAACAACAACAACAACAACAAGAACAAGAACAAACTTTAAAACAACACTCTGAGGCTGCAGTTTCTGGGCTCACAACACATGGTGCAATTTTCCCTCTTGATACCGCCGAGGAGTTTGAGCACAAGTGCATGGGTCGAGTGGTGGAGCTTGCGTGCGCTGTCGAAGGTCGTTCTATGCTACTGGCCGCCATGCGCTCACAGGATGCGATGGTGATCAGTACAATGGTGAATGAGATCATTGCCGATGTGGAGACGGTGGCGCTTGATAATCATGGTTGTCACGTTCTTCGTGCATTGATGGACTATATGGACGCTGAAAAAACTGCCCTACTGGTCTCTTCGTTTAACGAGACGTTGGTGCTGAATCTGTGCACTGTGTCGCAGTACACGCGACGTATTTTGCAGGCTCTTTTTGAGAAGCCATTGATTGATCTACAGCCCATTGTCAACGTACTGGCGTCCAATGCACAGTACCTCGCGGCCACACAGCAGGGATGCATCTCGCTAATGCGTGTTTTTGAGCTATGCAATGCGGAGCAGAAGGCGCAGTTGATGGCCCCTTTGGTGCCTCTCTTCACTCACATCTCGCTTGATCCCTTTGGCAACTATGTCGTACAGTGTGCCATTGAGCGTAGTGAGAAGACAGTGGCAGCGCAGTACACGGTCTCCTGCTTTGCTGGCGAACTTTTAAACATGAGTTGTAACAAGTACGCGAGCAACGCTGTTGAAAAGATTATTAAGGTCTGCGGTGATGTGCCCGCAGTGCGACGTCTGCTGATGGACGAGTTGATTTTCAACCCCGCCGCCTTGTTGCAGATGGTGCAGGACAGCTTTGGGAATTTTGTTGTGCAGTCTATCATTGAGCACACGGATAGCCCTACTGAACTGAAGCGCATCTGCGACCGCCTGCGCCCCGCACTGCCAAGCAGCCCGTACGCGGCGAGGATTGAGGCGAAAATTCGCGCCAAAGCCCCTACCTCGCAGCTGCTGCAACAGCACCACCAACGCCGGCAGCAGACGCCACGCCAGAGCCAAACACGCCGGCCACGTCAAGAGTCGCAGCAGCGACGCTGACGGTCGCCGCAACAATGGTGACTTCAATGAGCGATTATTATTATTATTATTATTATTATTAGATTCATTGCGCAGTGGAATCAGTCGTGATCCTGCGTATGAGAGAAGGGCATGAATACGTTATTATTTTTTTGCCTGTGGAACTGTATGGTCACTTTTGATAGATGCATACTGGGGGAGGAGACAATACAAATTTCCCCCTTCACACACATATATGCACATAAAGACATTGCTTCTTTGTCGCCTATTCCTCGTCATATAATTTTTATTTTGGCCGAGCCCCTTTGTTTTCTTTTTCAGCGAGGAAACGGAAATAGGACAAAGAGGGAACGGATAAGCATGAGTTCTGGCGTGAGTGTGTGTTTCTGTGCGGGGTAAGGAAAGGGAGTGGGGAAGCAAGAGAAGCCAAAAGAGAGGGAGAGAGAGGGAGGCAGAATACGAGACGTGACTTTTACGGGCGTCTAAATATATATATATATATATATTATATTATATACGTTTATATGTATTGGTATGTATGTGCAGGCTGGGAGGGGGTTTGTGTCTGCGTGTATGTTAGAGAGGGAGATAGAGGGGAGGAGGTGGTGGGGGCCGGCGGAAGTGAGCAAAAATACATTTCACAATTAGATGATATCTTTTTTTTTTTTTTTTTTTTGTTTTTTATTTCTTCTTGTCGATGCTGATGGCGTTGATGTTTCACGTCCCTTGTGATGTTCTTTGTTATAATTTCTCTAGAAGAGTATTTCTCTCCCTCTCTCACTTGATTTTTTTTCTTGTCTTCTTTGTTGCCCGTGGTCCTCACTCTTTTGTCCATCCGCCGGTCGTGGGCTGCGGCAGGGGAGGGGGAGGGCGGATGAAAGGGGGAAGTGAGAGAGACGGTGGCGGGGAATCCAAAAAAAAAAAAAAGAATAGACGCGTTTTTTTTTTTTTTTTTTTGGTTGAGACTTCTGCTGTGTGGGTTGGGTGCGCCCTGTCTCTCGTGGTTATTCTCCCGCTAAAATCTTTTTATTTTTATTTTTATTATATCCATTTCCGTTTGTGGTTGTATGCCTCCTGCAACGGTTCGCCGTGGGGCAGCGAGTGCGTGTGACGGCGCCGCACACAACCACGGCAACTTAGAAGAGAAGGGGGCACACACACACAAATACGAAAAGGAGGAGAGGGGACTTAATATGCCACGTTCCCGTGCTCCATTGTGGCGAAGAAGCGAGGCGTCATCTTATCTTGTGCGCTCGCCAAGTACGGCGAGTGGCGTAGAAAACATGGATAACATTTTTAGTGGTGGCTATAGCAAGAGACGGAAGAGGTCTAAAGATGCACCGGCTCTTGACGTGCTTAGCTTGGTGCCGAGCGATGACAGCAGTGTCGTCACCGCCACTCCAGTTACGAGCGCAGGGGTCTTTGTGACGCCTAGCCCCATTCTTGCCACGCTGTCAACAAGCGAATGGCTCATGCTCTCGAGGAATCACTGTGAATCGTCTCACCCCTCGTCCATGGAGAAGCCATTGTCTGGGGTTATAATTACCGCCGAGGTGGGAGGATGGTTGCGTGTGCGGGACCAACGGAATGGTACTATTCGCTATCAGCGCCGTCTACGCTATGTGAGTAATCCCTCATGTCTATGCTGGAGCTTATCTTTCTGCTGCATATTCTTCGTTGGTCAGCAATGTGGTTTATTGACGATGCTGCAACTGAAAAATGAAAGCATCATTGAGGTTGCGGATTGCGTGCTTCACGAAGCCCCGATTGTGGCGATGGTTCGTGTGTTTGTAAATGTGCATGGTGGCGCAAAAGGGTCAGTCGCTGTGAAAAGGCC